TTTTATTTTTTTGACAGGGGAAGCAAAAGGCTTTTGGATAAAACATTTGGTTTGGTGGAAAATAAATTGGAAAAAAGATGCCATCATGTGTCTCAGTCTCTGAAATGTAATCTAAGGTTCTACCCCAAAGCAAAGTGGTGCTGAGAGAAACTGGCCTCTGTCTCTGTCTGCAAGTCTCTCTTGGCACAGGATTTTCCAGTCCACATATCTGTCTGTACGTAGACTTCAGCTGTCAGCTCCTCGAGTCTCCCAGGTTTGCTTTAGTTTTTGCTGTTTAAAAGTAATGACTGAGCCTCTTGCAGCAAACACTTTGGAAAGCTCAAGGCAGCCTCCTCAAACTCAACACAAGAGGGCTGCAGCCAAGTGGTCAGGCACTGTGCAACCCGGAGTAAATGTGCCTGATTTTCGAGCTATCGTGTTGGTGGCATCTGGCCTCTGGCCTCTTCCAGCATGGTCTTTCATGGCTGTGCAAGGAGGGGGACATGGATCATGCATGTGACCCAGCCGTGTCGTGTACACAGGAAACTCATCTCTGCAGCCCCACTGGGTTTAGTTTTTGTTCTGCTGTGTCCTGGTCTGTGTCACTTTCACACCTGTCTGTATCGGTCTTCACTCCCAGACTCCCCTCTGCATTGCGTCTCCAGAGGCTCCTATCTCAGATGCACCGACAGGCTCAGGTCAAGCCTCATTCTTCTAAGCGGCCTTCATTGCCCTCTTTCATCAGTTCTCAGTCTCATCAAAACTTTTCTGAGTACCACCTGCTTCTCTCTCCTTAATAGTTCTTGTTTTGCTTAGTTTTTCAAGACACGGTTTTTCTGTGCAGCTTTTGGAGCCTGTCCTAGAACTTGCTCTGTAGACCAGGATGGCCTCGAACTCACAGAGATCCGCCTGCCTCTGCCTCCTGGAGTGCTGGGGTTAAAAGCATGTCTCACCACCACCTGGCTCCTTAATATTTTTTAGCATTAATTTTCACATATCCTTTGAAAATTTCATACGTTTATACAAACTCTGTCTTGATCACATTCACCCTCCACTCCCCACTTCACCTTTCCCCACAATCACCCATGATAGTTTTCTGATTTCATGCCTTCGTTTTGCTTATTTAACCCATGGAGTCCAATTAGTGCTGCTCGTATATTCTTGGGTGTGGGGTTATCCACTGGGACATGGAAATCTACCAGTGGCCACACTCCTGAAGAAAAGTGACCCCAATCAACTACTAACAGTTCCTCAGCTATGGCTGTAGCCCCAGGCTCTCCTTTCCCTTCCATGTTGGAGTTTTTAACTGGCTTGAGCTCATGAAGGTGACCATAACACGTTACATGTGCAACAGCTACATCATGTCTAGAGCACAGCATCTTCTTCCACATCCTCTGTTCTTACATTCTTTTTGCCTGCTCTTCTTCAATGTTGCCTGAGCCTAAAATGTCTATGGCTGAGCACTTGGTCTCCTACTCTTAGTACTGTGTCTTCGCATTAACTGCTCCCCACTGCAGTAAGCAGCTCTTCTTTGCAAGGTCAGGAGCAGCACAAATCGAAGGGAATAAACATAGCTATTTAGAAGGCAGTTTGACAGCGTGAACATATAGAAAATCATTATCAGTAGGTCCCCCCCTACGACTTCCCTAGCCATGGATTTTGACCATGTTTACAGTGCCAGGCATGAATCACCTCCTGTGGAGCAGGCCTCGATCCAGTCAAGAGAGCAAGTGGTTGCCCCATCAACAGTCTTGTCCGTTTCACCAGCGGGCTCATCCTGCCTGGCAGGTCAGCATTCATTGGAGCATTCAAAGATAAGACCTTTGGTGACTTCTCCCTCGGCAGCCCACATAGCACCTTCTGAAACTATGAAAACATGCTATGTTGGTGAGCATTTGTAACTCCTGTATTGGGGGGGGGGCTGCAGCAGGAGGATTGCTACGAGTTTGAGGTCAGCCTGGGGGACATATTGTGTTCCAGTCTAGCCTGGACCACAGTATATGACTGTCTCAAAAGAATTTTTTTATTGATTTTTATTGAGCTCTACATTTTTCTCTGCTCCCCTCCCTGCTTCTCCTCTCCCCTTCAACCTTCTTCCATGGTCCCCATGCTCCCAATTTACTCAGGAGATTTTTGTCTTTTTCTACTTCCCATGTATATTAGATCCATGTATGTCTCTAAAAGAGTTTTTTTTTTAAACAACAACAACAACAACAACGTTTTTAGGCTCCTTTACATTTTAAAATTAAGTCGAAACTCTTGTTTATAACAATAATCTCCGAGAATTCAAACACACACACACACACACACGCAATTGTGTACACTGCTGAAGATGAGGACACCCTCATTAGGTGAATTATTCATTTCTCTTTCTGCACGGAGAGGGGAGGTTTTTCAATCTCTTTCATTTCTTTGGGCTTTTCTTCAAGTCCCAGATGCTGTGTAGTGGATCTGAATTTCTTTTCCATAACTCAAATTCCATTTTTAACCCAAGATAATATATGTAAAGCTTGCATTCACATGATAATTAAGTATCCTCTTTGGATACTGAATCCTGGCTCTGTTACAGTCTAGCTGTAATCTAAAAGATGTTTTGAGCTGGATTCCTTGTCAGAATTAGGGCTCACACTTCTGTGCTGGGTCGATAACTGGACAAAGTTTGACACAGGTCTTGATATAGAATAAAAGCCCATTGAACAGTTTCTTATTACTTTGTCTGTAGTGAATATTGGTGTTAATAGAGTTCTGAAGGTCTTCGTGTTAACTTGAGAAGTATTCTGTTCCTTTATTTTGATCCTCAGTGTGTGTGTGTGTGTGTGTGTGTGTGTGTGTGTGTGCGCGCGCGCTGAGGTCTGAAGACAACACTAAGTGTTGTTCCTCAGGAACTGCTCACATTTTCCTTTGAGACAGAATCTCTCCCTGGCCTCTAAGTTGCCAAGTAGGCTAGGCTGGCTGGCCATCAAACTTAGGGTGCCACCTGCCTCCCTTGTGCCTACAAGCACGGGTCAACATTCCTGACTTTATAAGATGGTGAGTTCTGGGATGGGGGAGTCAAACTTGGGTCCTCATGCTTGCCTGCCAAGTGATTTACCAACTAAGTTGATACCCTGGGCCAGCCCATCACATTTCCAAAAACCATGAGAAGAGTGGGTGATGGAGGAAGGTCATTGGTTAAATAAAAAGAAACTGCTTGGCCCTCACTGGTTAGAAGATAGGTGGGAGGAGTAAACAGAACAGAATGCTGGGAGGAAGAGGAAGTGAGCTCAGACTCCACAGCTCTCCTCTCGGGAGCAGACGCCTCAGAGAGACGCCAGGCTCCCTGCTCCAGGGAAGATGCACGCGATGAAGCTCCGACCCAGGATGGACTTAGGCTAGAATCTTCCCGGTAAGACCAGTGCTCACTAAGACCGGTGCTCACAGATTATTAGAGATGGGTTGATCGGGATATCAGAATTAGCCAGTAAGGGCTAGGGCTAAAGGGCCAAGCAGTGATTAAATGAATACAGTTTGTGTGTTGTTATTTCGGGCATAAGCTAGCCAGGCAGCCGGGGTGCTGGGGACGCAGCCCCGCCGCCCTTATTACTACAAGTGGGTGAGTCTGTCCAGGAACAGGAGGTGACACTGGAGCAGCTGTGTGGCCCTCATCTGCCCGCAGTTCTCCACCTCTGCCTTTGACTGACAGCCTCATAGTCTCCTTCATCACCCACCCTTTACAAGCTAAGGTACAGTCAGTCAGTTGGTGTTAAGTGGATTGGTGATCCACATTAGATCCAGATGAAAAACATCTGCATTAAAAAAAAAAGATTCTCTTGAAAGGTGAGCTGACAAGTGGGTCCTTGGGTTAGGTATCCCGTGTTTGCACAGTCTGCATCACAGACCGTGATGGTCTGTCTGAGTTCACACCAAGAAGAAAGCTGGGCGGAGCTGGTGCTGGGCAGAGTCCAGTGAACCCTTGAGGAAAGAGATGACTGAAGGTCTGGACAACTTCACTCTCACCCTGTAAGTGAGGTCATATTCGTGTCTTAAGATTACTAGAGATTTGTGAATATGTATGCTTGCTTGAATGTATGTGGAGGCTGTAGGATGACGTCACGAATCATCCTCCATTAATCTTTCACCTTATTCATTGAGGCAAGGTCTGTCAATCAAAACCAGAGCTCACTGATACAGTGTGTCTCTAGAGCCAGCTTGCTCTGGTGGATCCTGTGTCTCTGCCTTCTGCAGCTAGAATTACAGATGGGCCACCATGACCACTCAGCATTTCCATGGGCTCTGGGGATCCGAACTCTGATCCTTAGGCTTGCACAACAAGTCTTTTAACCACTGAGCCATCTCTCTAGAAAGTCTTTAATGACAGCTGCCACTTAGGGGTTCCCTGGGATTTGGGTAGTCATGGTTGCCATTGATGACCTCATCAGGCTCTAGAGTCACATAGAGGATAAATCTCTGGGTGTGTCTGGGTGTGATGGAGGAAGGTCATTGGCTAATAAAGGCACTGCCCTGGCCCATTTTATTGGTTAGAGGATAGGTGGGAGGAGTAAACAGAACAAAATGCTGGGAGGAAGAGGAAGTGAGCTCAGAGACTCCACAGCTCCTCCTGGGAGCAGACGCCTCAGAGAGAGACGCCATGCCCCGCTCCCGGGATGAAGCTCCGACCCAGGATGGACTAGGCTAGAATCTCCCCGGTAAGCGCACCTTGGGGTGCTACACACAGATGATTAGAAATGGGCTAAATTAATATGTGAGAATTAGCCTAGAAGAGAATGGGCCAAGCAGTGATTAAAAGAATACAGTTTGTGTGTTGTTATTTCAGGGCATAAGCTAGCTGAGCAGGCAGCCGGGGTGCCAGGGACGCAGCCCCGACGCCCCTATTACTACATGGGTGAGAGTTTCTAGAATGGATTAGCTGAGGAGGAAAGACCCACCTTGAAACGAGTGCAGCCCCATCCCATGGACTGGGGACCCGAACTGAATATTAAGGAGAAAATGAGCTGAGACCAGCATTTGTCTCTCTCTGCTTCCTGACTGGGTTGTGACCAACTGCCTCCAGCTGCCCTGCTGTGACCTGAGGACAGGTAGGTGGCAGTGGGTATAGGATAGAGATTGTATTCCATCGAAATAACTCTGGATCTGACCGCGAATGAAGCGAGGGAGGGGCAGGTGTGTCGCTTCTTTTTTAACAGGGGAATGCTTCAGCTCTATCTGGTAAGGATCAGAGGGCAGGAAGTAGATGAAACAAGAAAATCCCATGAGACACTTATTTGTGAAGCCATGGCAAGCGTTTTAATGACAACTGCCACCACGGGTTAAATAAATAGCTTTGAAAATCTATTGTAAATGCTACAAATATACGTGTCCAACGTCCAACCAAGGTCACCAGGCTTCCAGGACCTTTTCTCAGCTACAGATTTTAGTAATAGAAAAAAACGAAAACAATGGCCATCCCCTGGTATGTCTATGAGTGCTGCTCAGCTGAGGGTCACAGTACCGGGTGTCCTCTCCCTCTGATGATGGATGGAGAGCGCCAGGCCCTGGACATCCTAGGAGTTCATCTGCTCACTTTTCATGCAATCACTCTGCTCCGAGTGGATACAATTCTGTGCTGTGCTGTTACACCGCTGTGCAAAGCCACAGTTTAAATGACAATCTAACATAGATTTTTTTTTAATCATTTTGAGCTTATGTTGGTTTACCCTGCCCAATAAAATCTGATAACTCAACTCTACCCCCAAACATCTTTTCTGTTAGTTCAGTACAGTGTTGGCTGTCTCTTGTGGTAGCCATGGCCCATCTGCCTGGCTCTGAACACCCTGCCCTTATGATTGGACTAACATCTCTCTACAGTGTTCACACTGAGGGAGACACCGAATCTCTGACTTCACAGGGAGTGGCCGGGTGTCACAGTCTGTGCCCTGTTCTCCTGGCCACATCCTATTCAGATAGCTGTGAACACTCTTCCACCCGCTGGCCTGACCCAACTGGTGATGGCTGTGGAACTCACTCTCCCCATGGGAGGAGCTGAGCACTTCCTATATTGTTTAAAGAAAAAAAGCCAGAAAAGGTCAACAAAGCAGGGAGATATAAAAACAGGTTAATGTTACAACATCAAGCTCGAACTCATTGATGATCTTCCTAAAAAGAGGGAAAAAAAACCCTATCTAGTGAATAGAAATATAATTTATATTTCATTTAGGAAAATATACCACTTGGTCCTTGGAAATAAACATGAAATTCAATCAAATGGAAGCCTAGGCCACAAGAAGGAGACATGGAAGCAAAAAGGGATATAGAATTGAATGTAAAATTCTTGTTCTTCCTAAAAGACAACCAGTACAAGATGTACTTCGTCCTGGGTACCAGGTTGATGGACATGGGCTGTCCTCAGAAACATGAAGATTGAATTAAAATGGAGGCTGCCTCTTAGCAAGCCCTATGTTTACATTTTGTTCCTTTATTAGAAATATAAACCAACAGTCGTTTGTGTCTTTTTATTTGTCTTTTTTGTATTTTTTTAACAAATATTTTTGGTAGCTTTTCTGCAGTGTATCTTGAGTCAGAAAATAACCCTCTCACCTCTGAGTAGTTCTGTCATGGATCAACTCTGCCTCCCTGTGGAGTCAGAGACTCAAACTTCTGGAAACCTATCCATCCTCAACTGCTAAAAAAACAAAACAAAACAAAAAACCCTTTAATATAAAAACCTCCCTTCCCAGCTTCTAAACGGCTAGCTGGCATTTTGTGGGCCCCAATCTTCCTCGCTCAGTCCACTGGGAGCTTGCTCCATCCAGCTACTCGGCCGAGGGAAGGAAGAAAGGAGGGCACTGTCCGAGTTGGAGAGGTGGCCAGAATGCTACACATTGTCTTGGAATTTCTCCAGATAGGTTCTGAGATCCTTAGATGTGCCCACATCTAGGTCTTGGCAGACCCATTTGATGTCATCGTCCCCACTGAGGATAGAGTTCACTGTGGGGCAGTTGTCCTCGGGTGGCATGGTGAAGGTGGCAAACTTCACCTTCTTCATCTTGGAGGTGGGTGAGTTTGCAGGTTCCTGCCTGAGCTCCCTCCCCTGCCGCCCCCCGGAGCCGGGTGGCCTGTGGACCTGGCTCTGCATGTGCTTCTGGGAGCCACCATTGAGAAGCAGGTGGTTGCTCTCTTCACAGCCTCCCAGCCCTCGGTCTATGATGGTCGTGTGTTCATCTTGGGGAGGTGACACATCCCCAATGTTCTCCAGGAGTTCTGCCTCATTGCCCAGCCATACCCAGTCGTGAGAGTGAGTCATGGATGCCTGGCCTTCCAGAGGCACCTGTTTGTGCCTATACTTGAAGGCAAAGGTGGCACAGTTAATGAGAAAGACAAGGATGGCCAGGCAGAAGACCCCCAGGAGGGCGTACATTCCAATCTCCAGGTCACTCAGGCCATGGGCGGTCTGCATCAGACCATTCTCCTCCAGTGTACTTCCGGCTTTGGGGAGGTCCACATGGGCTGGGAAGTTGGTGAAGTCTATGGGGATGCTGTGTAGCCTGGCCCCATCCAGCCTGCCACTCTTCCCCACTTTGTTATCCAGCAGGGACTTGGCAGTGGTGGTGGCACTCAGCAGGGCCCCTTCCTCACGATCCCCAGGAGAGTTGCCATGGTAGCGCTCATCCTGGCCTGAGCGGTCCAGGTCCTGAATCTTCTGCCGGCGATCACTGGCATGGTTCTTTATTTCCTCCTCATCCTTATCACCAGTCTTGATGGCGTCAGCATCGTCCCATCCAAACTTGACCCCCACGTGGCCGATGCCCACAGCTAGCACACTCTTGCGTTTGGATTTCTGACAGGCCTCAGCAATGGACATGTCCACTCGGAGCAATGGGCCCTGGCCTTCTCCTTCAGCCACCACAGTGGGCCACCAAGGTGAGAGGGGCTGTGGGATGGACACGACAGTCTCGTCCAAGGAAGTGGCCGTCAGGGAGAAGTCCTTGGTGTCATAGATGTCCAGGGGTGTCACTGAGCCATCACTGAATTGGAGCCATGTGCTGACTATAGCTTCCTGCAGGAACAGAGACCATGAGAACCACTTTGGGGGGTGCCTTATCTCCAGGGACTCATCCTAGAACACCACCAAAGAAATAGGAAGGGTGACATGGAGTCCTGATCTGGTGCCAGTGAGGTGGGGGAAGTGAATATGCTTTCCATCCGAGAGATACCCTAACACGGCTCCAGCATCAGCCAGATGCAGAAAACACACACAGTCCTGGACCGGCTTTTTGTTATCTGCCAACCATTTGTTCCTGGGCTTCATTAGCCTCATAGGACAATGGAGACTTGTAGAGGTGGGAAACTGAAGCAGGAAATTCTGCCAGAGCCAAAGACCTGAAACTGAAAACTACGGGCTGGGAATGTGGACCAGTTGGTAACATGTTTGCCTAGAGTTCATGAAGTCCTGGGTTTGACTCCCCATACTGCCTAGCCTAGATGTGGTAGAGCATGCCTTTTATTCCAGGGCTTGGAATGGAGTTGGAAGCAAGGAGCTCGAGGTCATTCCAGGGTACATGAGACACTGTCTCAAAAAAGCTTGTCTTCTCTCCTGTGATTGTTAATCTTGGTCATCAACTTGACTACATCCAGAATCAATAGAAGCCCTTGCTGCTGGGCACTCTTGGGAGGAATTTCCTTAATCAGATTACCTGAAGCAATAAGACCCATGCTAAACCTGGGCCACGCCTCTATTGGCAGCCCAGATAAAAGACAGAGAGGAAGGAAGCATTGCTTTTTGCCTGCTTGCCCTCTTGCTGGCAAGTTTATCTATCCTATTGCTGCAGCTGGTATTATATCCAACTTCAGGTTTTCATCATGGACCGAAGACCAGCAGCCTTTCAGGAATCACCCAGAACTCCTGAGCTAGACTGGAACTGTAGAGACATCCAAGCTCACACTTTGAACAACTACCAGGTTCTCTACTTTTCCATCATGAGCCGGCCATTATTGGCCTACCTGGACCACAGCCAGTAAGTCACTCTACTAATCCCCTTCTAATGTAGATCTTCATTCTTACAGTTCTGTTCCTCTAGAGGACCCTGACTAATTTCTCTCCCCTCCCCACCCTATTCTTCCACAGGGTCTTAAAGGTGCCTTTTGCTTTGTGGGGGGAAACAGAAAAACAAGATTATCTTCCCTTTGGAAGTGTGCCATGGCACACTCTTTGCAGGACTGTCAGGTGGCTAATAGTGACATGCCTATGACACCTGGTGGGCTCATCTCAGCTGCCTTAGAACAGACCAACAGACCAGCAAAGTTCCGGCCAAAAAAGACCTGCAATCGTTCAGCCAAGGCCCAAACAGACATAAAAACTCTTCCACTGTGGAGACCAGGGAAGGGAGTTTGAGTGCTTCTGGCTCCATCCTCATATGCTTGCTATGTTCTCAGTAAGCACAGACATTGCCTAATGCACAGTCCAGGGATAATACACTGAGATGGTGGATACAGACCCACCTAGATGGAATGCTGCCGAGCATTTCCTGTGGAAGCCCTCACCTTCAGCACCGTGGACAGAGCCTTAACTTGCTGGTCACCAGGACAAACCTGGAACTCTTTAGGATTCTAACAGGGGAAGGAACCACAAACAGAGCACCTATGCATATTAGGGCTCAGCTCAGAGGCTGCGTCTCTTGCAAAGTAGATGCCACTACAACAAGTTTAAGCAGCGTGTCCCTTGTCTGTCAGGTTAGCAAGAAGTTAGCTGAGCTGTGCTGTGCTGGAGACCCAGGGATCAGCCAGTGCCCAAGCCTCGTGGTTAGGTGTACCCAGAACAGCTATGCTTAGCCTTTCCCTAAAGGCTCACTGTGGTGTACCAGACCAGTCCTGATTGTGGGAGCCTTTCTGGTTGCTCACCTGGCCACACCCACCTTAGCCCCTATTGTGACAGCAAGAGGAGGCAGTGGGAGCCTCTTTACATAAGACAGGTTGAAAAATCTCTTTCCTTTCTGCCACTGGTGGAAACAAGAAAGCTGTATTCAGTCCTGGGCTGGTGTGGCACTGCCTGTGGGCCACAGGGAAGGGAAGCAGAGACACGGACTGGAAGCTGGACCCAAGTGAATGTGGAACCACACGGAGCTCCTCGGGAGCAGAGCAAGGTAAAGCAACAGCTGCACAAGGCTTCCCCGATAAAAGCAAAACTCCATCTGTGGGTAGGCGGCAGGTGTCACAAAAGGCGCGTTAAAAATACACACAGGAGGTCTGTGGGATCGCTGAGTGGATCAAAGCCCTGACTGCAAGCCTGACGCCACAGGAGTTCAATCTCAAAAACCCACTGTCAAGGTGAAAGGAGACAGGACGGACTGCTTAAATTTGTCTTCTGACTTCCACACATTCACTGTGGCATGCACATGCGCGAGCACACACACACAAATACACACACACTGTACTACTACTACTACTAATAATTTAAAAACCTAGATGATCAGACTAATATTAGAGATTCAGGAACAACTGGAAAAGTCTGGATTAAAATAAACCAAGAAAAAAAAAACAATCGCTAATGAAATAAAATGGCAAAAGAGAAATTAAAGCAGAAACTACTCTAGGAGAGCAGAGGTGAGGGGGGAAAGGCAGGGAGGGATGTGTGGAGACCTACACAGAATTTCTAGAAATGGAAAACTGAGAGGTGTGTTGCCTGCAGTCTTGGGACTTGGGAGGTGGAGGCAGGAGGCTCAAGAGCTGAAGGTCAGTCTCAGTTACGGAGGCCAGCCTAGGCTACACAGGACCCCCATCTCAAAGAAAAGAATAGGGGGAGGGAGAAAGTGAGTGAGTTACTTGGGATGCCTTATACAGCAGGCACGACACGCCTGAGGAGAGAGCCAGCTCACTAGCCAACACAACCAGCATGCTACTCAGGACTAGGAAGACAAGCAAGACAAGACAGGCAGGTGGAGAGGGATAAGGAGAACCAGTTGGGTCAGTCGTCCAGTTACAAGCTTCAAGAGGAAATCAGAATAAGAAAGGCAAAATCAAGCACTGGTGACTGCAATCCAATATGGCAGCAGGGGAAGAAAGACTTCAGGTGTCCCTGCCTACAGGCTGCTTCCTTCTGTTTAGGGCAACTGAGGCTGAGTCTCTACTGTTCGGAACAGAAAGGCCAGAGCAAAGTTCTGTGGAGCAAGGGGGATTGCACTGGCCACTGCTGACCGCTCCTCTGCTCTCCGCTATTTTAAAGTGTGACTATTTTATTGGAGGTTGAGAGAAAAAATACAGGACAGGCAAGATGTAAATCTTGGCAGCTGCCTAGAAGAGAAAGAGAAAAGGGGGAGAGAGAAACCCTTCCTAATTGTTGAGTTAATGCCAACAACGGAAGTCTGGAAACAGCTCTATGTGGGGTCTATACAGCTTTCAGAAACAAAACAAAACAAACAAAAAACAAGAAAGCACAGAGGGCTGGGCACACTTAGGATTTTGTCCAAAGGTGAGAGGGAAAAAAGGTAAAGGGAATAGTTACGTTTCTGAGTTAGACTCTGCACTAATTTGAAGCCTCACAATGGTGTGGAACAGTTATCCTGCCGCTCAGCTCCTACAAGCTTGGCTTTCCACCATCAACTCTGCGAATTCATCTTTGCTCACAAGCATCCTCTGGCTTTGGAGCCTGAGTTCTTGAGTGAAGCCAGAGATGCCAAGGAATTCACAGCCCCTAGGGCTGTCCCTGATGAACAATGGATCGGTGGTGTTCTACCAAACCCAGCTCCCTCATCCTTTGAGCATGGTCCATCCCTGGCCTTTTCTAGTCTGGTATGGTCTCTCTGGCAGCATTGGTGGGTGAACATGTCTTCATCAGTGGCTGAGTGGGTGACGTATATACAGGATCTGCCCTTCCCTTCCTTGCACACTGCCTGCTTTGTCTGCTGAGGGGCCTTCATTGTCCAGATAAACAAGCAATGTTTGCTTCAGCCTCAGCATGTAGGGAAATGGATACGGACAGAGTGTGGCCCTGAGCCTTTGGTTTCGACACTTGGACATTCTCATACTCACACCACCCGCCAGAATCCTAGGCAACTCATTTAGTTTTTTTTTCCTTCCACCCAAGCTTAAAAATAAGCAAGGCTCATATTCTGAATTTTCAGAAAGGAAGCTATGAATGACACACACAGGAGTGTCTGCCTTGTGAGATAAAATGTTGTTCATTGTGGCTGCCTTTCATCTGGAATTAATTTTTCTTCCCCCACCTGGACAGAGAAGTACGTTAATATAAACCAAGTCCTGCTCCAAGGACCGATAGTGGGATTGAAACTTCAGTCTGGTCAGGGCCATTTCCATCAGCTCTGCCTTGTGATTGAGATCTGGTCCTGCTGTCGTCTCATTACAGCAAGGCTGGAAACCTCGCCAGAGAATCCAACCCACATCTCCCAAGATGATAAATGCCGAGTGACTTCAAATAACACGTGGCCACCAGTGATTAAGACCCTGCTTCTTTAGAGAGTCATACTTGTGAATTGAAGCTGCTCTATCTATAAGTCTCCTGCATCTGGCCTGGGCATCCAATTACTACTGGTTGATGAAGACAGATGGGTCATGTTGGATGTGGACAGTGGTTTTATCTTATAACCAGAGGCTGCGCTGCTTGTCCATTCTAATCCATGTTCCATCTTAGCAAAGCGCTTCCAGCTTTTTGACTTTTTTTCTCTGTTCTTTGGACCCTCATCTTTTTTCTTGCATGCATGAAGATCCAAGGTTGGTATTAGGTATCTTCTTCAGTGGCTCTCCACCTTGATACAGGATCTTACTAAACCTGAAGCTTGCTGATTGAGCTAGGTTCGCTGGCCAGCAAACCCCTGGAATCCTATTGTCTCCACCTCTCCACAACTGTGCTGTAAGCATGTATCACTTTTCCACTCTCATTTACAAACTGGACCACACCGCCAATTCCTGTCTTCAGGGAGAAGGACGGAGGAGCCATCACTGCAGACTGGACAAGGCTGGAATGCACTCCCAGTCTCTCTAGCTGATGTTTGGGACCAAAGTGAGGTAGCAACTGTCTACTGTGCTAGATAGGATGGCTTGGTTTTGTTTTGGTTTTTGTTGTTGTTGTTGTTTGAGACAAGGTTTCTCTGTGTAGTCCTGGCTATCCTGGAACTCACAGAGATCCACCTACCTCTGCCTCCCCAGTACTGGGTTAAAGGCATGCACCACCACTGCCTGGCTCAGGATGGCTTTTCAAAGACAGCTTGGTAGAGTTTCCAGAAGCTGGGCACATGGTGAGGGATGCCCTTCTCGTCTGTGTCACATGGTGCAGTTCTCTATGGGACAGGGATGACTTCCTGGGCTACCTAGCCACGGGATGGTGGAGTTATCGCCCCCTTTAGGGTCACCAGTTCCTGCTGCTGATAGTAGAGGAGGGTGACAGAGCCTGGGGCAGACTTTATTGTGGGTGAGGGAGGTGAAGTGGGGGAAGAAGGAATTGATGGTCACAAGGACCTAAGTGAGGCAACTAGATAATTACAATAACTGACTATGAGATGGGGACCTCGTCATTCACAACAAGGATCTTGCTCCCAAACAGCAAACCCCTGGAAGTAGATCATTCCCTGGATGAGAAGTCAGCACTGTAACACCCTGAGTGTAGGGCCCAGCTGGGTTTCCACAGAACTGGGACAATGTTACAGTAAGTTGTTAGGCAGTCCTAATCGTTACACAGCAGTAGCTAGCTGATACATCCATGTGTGCTGAGTACCATTCCAGGGTCCTTCTTGGACCCTACAGCAGGGATGATGAAGTCATGTGGATTTCACAAATCATGTGCCACCTGTTGGCACCTCTAACTCGGCCATAATATAGGCAGTGTATGTCTGCCAGTATTTAAACCCTGCAGGGCACCTAGGATTTTTCTGGTTTTCCCTAAAAGCACCAAACCTCTCCGGCTTTACTCTGCCTGCGCAGATGGTCACTGTGTTCTGTCTTCATAGTATGTCTACTCCCACAGAGCCCGTTTTGTTCCATTATACTGTGTGAAGGACTGGAGGCCCCACTGCCTCCTTGTCTGGTCTAGAGCCTGTTGCCCATGCCAGTCACAGCAGGCCAAACTCCTGGCATACCCTGTCCTCACTGGGGTTAACATAGAGCTTCACCGCAGCCTGCCAACTTCTCCTGGTTGTGTGTCACCCGTGGGAACCAGCTTTGGAAACAAATGCCTGAGCCAGTATGAGGCCTACCCTGGTGGAGTCCTGAGGTCCCTAATGTTTCTGTTCTTAACAGTGATGGACAGTGACTGACACTCACAAAGGGAATGGTGACAGAGACCTTCTTTGTAGCACACAGTAGTTGATTCCAATATAATTCTCAGACATGAGATGAAGTGGTTCCCTCTAAGGACTGAGGTCCAGGTTGGGTCCTCCCAGAGCTCCACCTCCAGAATCTTGTTCAGTTCAGAAGTATGTGGTACTCCATGTTTCCTTCTCTCTTTCTACCAGCTCCCAACCTCCACTGACTTGTAATGGTGTTTGCTGTGAGCCTACTGTGCACAGTAGAGGGTCAGCTCTGCAAAGCATTGCCCCCACAGAAAGTTACCCTATAGCCCATTTCCAGAAAGTCAACAGCAAACACAGGTGTGGAGTACATGTTAGCAGTGATTTCTGTGGCGTAGTGAATGCGTAATAGAAGTGGGAGAGGAGGCAGAGATCGACAAGGCTGTGAGGATGGCCTTAGTGAGCAGAGGGGGTTGAAACTATGGGTGGAAAATGAGCCAACAGTGTTGAGGGAAGAGTGAGCTCAGGGGAACACATCTCAGATCAGAAGAAATGCAAGGAAAGAATTTCAGATGAACATGGCAGGCAGGGACCTGTTAAGCACCAGGGAGTTCCAGAGAGTTGGGGACAGAGAGCAGGCAGGATTGTACCTGCCAGGGTATATGGGTCCTGGAGGTATCTGTATCATTAGGGAAACACAAGGGGGCAGTTGACCTGGTCTGATCATTGCATCCTCAGCCCAGGGGAGGGAATTGGGGAAGGACTGGGAGGAGGCTGTGGGAGTGAGGTGAGATTGGGTGGGAGTGGGGTGAAGGTTGGGATGAGGGAGAGGAGTGGGAGTGGAGGATGCTCTGGGAGTGGAGTGCAGTAAGGTTGAGTGAGAAGTAGATGGAGGAATAGAAGTAGGGTGAGAAGCAGGATAGGGGTGAGGGGTGGGAGCTGGGTGAGGGGTGGGAGGAGGGTGAGGGGTGGGAGCTGGGTGAGGGGTGGGAGGAGGGTGATTGGTGGGAGCTGGGTAAGAGCTGGGAGAGGGGTGAGCAGTGGGAGAAGGATGAGGGAGGTGGGAGCTGGGTGAGGGGTGGGAACTGGGTGAGGGGTGGGAACTGGGTGAGGGGTGGGAGCTGGGTGATGTGTGGGATCAGGGTGAGAAGTGGGAGGTGAGTGATGGGTGGGTGGCGGGTGAGGGGTGGCAGCTGGGCGAAGGTGGCAGCTGGGTAAGGGGTGGGAGCTGAGTGAGGGGTGGGAGCTCGGTGAGTTGTTGGAGGTGGGTGAGGGGTGGGACCTGGGTAAGGTGTGGAAGGTAGGTGAGTTTTGGGAGCTGGGTCAGGGATGGGAGTACGGTTAGAGGTGCGATGTGGTTGAGGGGTGGTGCTGGTTGTGGGGTGGGATCTGGGTCAAGGGTGGGAATTTGGTGAGAGGTGGGAGAGGGTTGCTGGGCATGAACTGGGTGAGGGTTGAGGGGTGGGAACTTGGTTAGTGGTGTGAGCTGGGTGACTGTTGGGACCTGGGTGAGGGTTGGAGTTGGATGAGGCATGGGAACCTAGTGAGGGGTGGGAACTGGGTGAGGGGTGGGAGGTGGTGAGGAGTCAAACCTGGGTGAGTGGTGGGTTTAGGGTGAGGGTTGGGAGCTGGGTGAGTGGTGGGAGCTGGCTGACAGGTGAGAGACGGGTGAGTTGGGTAAGGGGTGAAGGGTGTGGGAGGGGCTAGGAGTGGTTGAGGGGTGAGTGGTATTAGCTGTGTGAGGGGTGGGAGTGGCATGAGTGGTTGGATCTGGTGTGGGGTGGAATCAGTGTTTGTGTTGGGACTGGGTTTGTGTTGTGACGGGAGTGGGGTGAGTGGGGTGAGCAGAGTTAGGATTTGAACTTTGGGGAAGGGCTTGCAGTGGGTGAGAGTATGGACTGGGTTGGGTTTGGTAGCGGGGTGAGGGTTGGGAGCTCGTTGAAGATTGGAAGATGGCCGAAGGGTATGAGTGGAGTTGTGGCGTGGGAGCGTGGTGAGGGCTGCAAGTGTGGGGAGGGTAGTGAGTGTGGCGTGGGGTGACTATGGCGGGGGTGGGAGCGGGAGGATGCAGTCGGTCATCTTTCTCCACTCTTCCGCTGAACTAGCCCCATGGTCTCCCCGGCCCACCTCAACCCCTACCTGTTTGGGGGCCCGCAGCAGCTCCTCAGCTGTGACCATAGCTGTGGTAGCTTTGTTGTTCTCTGCGATGGGGTGCAGGGTCATAGACAGCCCAGCCACCACCTGGACAGTCAAGTCTGTCAGGGACACTTTGTCATCCAGCACCGTTACTGTCTTCTCTGCCAAGATGGAGTCGGACAGTGGGGACAACACCTGTGGAAACAGTGGGAGCACAGAAGCGCCATCATGCCCATTTCCAGGTAAAGGAACCCATGTTAAGACTCCCTATGCCCCCGTAGATGGGCCAGAGGTTCTGAACCTAGACCATAAGGAGGCACCCAGGCTTCTGTCACTGTTGTTGGCTCCACACTGAGCCTTTGTGAGCAGCCAAGAAAGTCCTTCCCTGAAACTTTACTTCCATTGGTATATAGAAATAATCACAAAACCATTCCATTTTAAGAAGGAATGAACGGCCCCTTCCCTTTAGGTAATGGACCATTCGTACGGTGCACAACCTAGTTAAGTGTACTTGATGGTCCTGCAGGCTGCATGCATGAAGAGCTGCACACAGACTCGGTGCAGCATGAATTAAATTCTAAGGGAACTATGGATCAACTGGGATGACAGAACTCTATCAGTCCCCTGCCTTCCATCATCACACTGCCTCTTTGCAGAAAGCCACCCTGTCTCATCCTACAAGCCCAGGGTTGGGCTGGAACTGTGCAGGTGAAATGATGGAACATTTACCATGGGGTTAGCATCCGCCAGGACATTCTAGAAGGGTAGTGAAAATCAAGTGGAACTTGAGGGGTGGAAGAAAGCTACTCCTGTTTGTTATCTGACCCAAACCCAACCATCCTATACATTCTTTTGAATGATAAAATATTATAAATTGTATTGAATTAAACACACAAGACAATGAAGTCAAGAAGAGAGAAGGGAAATTCCAGGCTTGCCTTTGCAGCAGCAGTATACAGGGCAAAGGCAAATCTTATGCAAGGGGATAGAAGGCAGTCTGGAGAACTATGTGGGAGGTGGGACTGGGGGGAACATGGGTACAGCCCTTGAGGTGGGCTCCAACGGGTAAGGAAAGACTGTAAATGGAAATGCTGGCCAAGTCCAATTCTTGTTCCCATGTCACCTTGTGGAGCCATCATGAAGACAATGAACTGGTCACAGTGACCTGCCTTACCCCCAGGGAACCCCTAGTCCCAGGAAGAATGCTACCAGCCAAGGACACAGAGTCCAAGTTCCTGCTTCCTACCTGGATGGTGGTCATCCCAACTTCCCGCCCAACCAGGACCCTGCTGTCCTGCAGGGTGGCTATGTGCGGGGACTCCAGCTTCATGAAGTCAGCCACCAGGTGGGTGATGTCAGACTGCCAGTCTGGACTGAGGAGGTGACTCAGCTGGCCCCAGGGCCCAGCACCCTCCGACACAAACTGGGTGAGGACGCGCACCGTGGCATGCTGGAACTGCAGGGCACAACCCCGGCCTCTCTGCTCCTCTTCTTCCTCCTCTTCGCTGTCCCGAGTGGGTCTGTGTGGGAAGAAAGATGCAGTCTCAGACATGGGGGGAAGAAGCATAGAGCACCACAAGAGGGCAGGTGTATGCCTCAGTCTCAGAAGGCGATGCTCAAGACGGGAGTCTCGGGCCCCCACGGGAGGCAGGCATCCATTTCTGGACAATGCAGAGGTTTGAGTGCATTGCCTGGCAAAGAGACAGCTGCCATTTCCTAAGCTCACACAGCCCCATAAGCAGCCACTCTCTGTGTGTGTGTGTGTGTGTGTGTGTGTGTGTGTGTGTGTGTGTGAGAGAGAGAGAGAGAGAGGGGGGGGAGGGAGAGAGAGGGCACGTGTGTGTATGTGGAGCCAAATGACAACCTCAGGTGTCATGCTCAGACATTTTCTGTTTCCTTTGAGACCAAGTCTCATCTAGGTTCAGAACTCACGGATTAGGCTAGGCTGGTTGAATATCAACGCCCCACCCGTCTGCCCATGCCCAGCATTTTCTTTTAATGTATAGTCTAGGGATGGAGCTCAGGTTCTTCTGTTTGCACAGCAAACACTTTATCGACTCATCTCCCTAGGACACTACTCTTCTTGACTCTTCAAAATGAAGGGGTTCTGGGGAACTGTCTGGGAACCACCTGCCAGCCTGTAGGGGAGAAGTGTGAGTGAGATACTGGGCTTTGGTGGCAGCCCTCACTCAGCTGAGATGGGCTTGTTCAGGGAAAACTGTGATCCACACAGGGGAATGGTCTGTGGCTATCTGCAACCAGAAGACCCTGTTCCAAGGTGAACATCATCCTACTCTGCCAGGGGACCTGGAACTGTGACCTTTAAAGAGTATGCTGTGAGGGTTAGGGAGATCATGGCTGTGGGAACACCAGCTTCTACTACATCCTGGGTCCTGCCCTGGTCCTGTCAATGGCATCTGTAAATCCAGTCGGTGCTGTTGTGGCTGAGGACATCTTCTCACCACCCACCGCTCACCTCTTGCTGGCCACGATGGGAACCCGCCAGCCCTTAACCTGGCTGAGTTCTGTGTCAGAGACCTCGATCTGCAGGGGAAGCCGGGGCACCCACACAGTGACATGCAGGGGTGCGCTCAGGTGCTGGTAGGTAAAATTCACCACGGAGTCCACCTTGCCCTTGATCTCTTTGCCATTGACAAAGACATAGTCGCAGTGGTCTGACACCTGCAAAGACAGAGGAGAGAGAGAGAGAGAGAAGATGGAGGTCACGTGGCCATTCAGTTCTTTTAGAGAGAACGCATGCATGTGCATGTGTGCATGCATGTATGTGCATTTGTATGGATATGCATACATATATGTATGTGTGTATATATGTGCATATGTATGTAATGTGTGTATGTGTTATGCATTTTGTGTATGTATATATATGTGTTTATGTGTATATGGATGTGTGCATGTGCATATGTGTATTATATATATGTGTGTCTGTAGGTACATATGGCATGTAAGCACATGCACACACACAAAAAAAACCTGATGTTGGTATCTCCAGTATCATTTTCCACCTTACTTTTGGAACCAGAATTCATTAATTGAGCTAGGCTGGCTGGTCAACAAACCTCTGGGTCCTGTTGTGTTGCCCCCTTCAGTGCTGGGATTACAGGGATGTGCCCCCATACCCAGTTTTCATACGGGTGTAGGGAACCTAAACTTGGGTCCTCATTCTTTCTTGGTGAGCACTTTCTAGACTGAGCCATCTGTTCTGCTTCCAGTTTGATCGACTTTATTGTGAAACACACTTGTTTCCAGCGCAGAGCCCCAGATGATGGAGGAAGGTCATTGGCTAATAAAGGAACTGCCTTGGCCCATTTTATTGGTTAGGACGTAGGTAGGTGGAGTAAACAGAACAGAATGCCGGGAAGAAGAGGAAGTGAGCTCAGAGACTCGACAGCTCTCCTCTCTGGAGCAGACGCCTGAGAGAGACGCCATGCCCTGCTCCCGGGATGAAGCTCCCACCCAGGATGGACATAGGCTAGAATCTTCCCGGTAAGCGCACCTTGGGGTGCTACACACAGATGATTAGAAATAGAAATAAAACATAGAAATTAATATGTGAGAATTAGCCTAGAAGAGAATGGGCCAAGCAGTGTTTAAAAGAATACAGTGTCCGTGTAATTATTTCGGGGTATAAGCTAACCGTGCGGGCGGCTGGGGTGCTGGGGACGCAGCCCTGCTGCCCCTTATTACTACAGATTGGCGCCCTACGTGATGGACTAAACCCACTTAAAAAACCTGAGAAGGCTTAAAAATAAGGGAGAGTTTAACACAGAGTTTTACTGTTTGTTGGTGGCGTGCTGTAGAGAGATTTCCTGATTCGGCAACAGTAGCAGAAAAAACGCTGTGTCATTTTAAAGCGCGACTTCCTGGGGCTGTGCCGCCATTGCGATCTCTGTGTGGCTCCTGCGGGAGACAGAGCTTTTGAATAGAGCATTTGGAGTAAAGTGCTACGATTTGTTTGATGGCAACTAGACTCGTTGTGTTCTCGGGTCTGCTCTGCTTGCTAGAGGCAAGCAAGCGCCTCATCTAAGAGAGGCTTCCTGACTCAGCTTTAGCTGCAAAACCCTGCAGCTCATTAAGAGTTCCTGCCACGAAACACTTAAAGGTGTTGATGAAAAGCTGAATGCATGCTTTTCAATTTTCAGCCGTAGCAGGAAAAAAGCTGCGCCGTTTAAAAATGCCGGCTTTCTGGGCCATCCTGCCAGGGCAAACTCTGACTGTTTGAGGCAGGAGGGCCGGTTACTGAGAGAGGACTTGAGTGTTGTCTGTTGTAGCTCACTTGCTGGCAGGGACCTTGAAATGCCATACAGTTGTTGCAGTAAAAATGGCTACAGCCTGTATATCCGCCATGAGGCTGGAAAGCTAAGGAATGGACTGGATCTAGCTGGCAAAACCACGCCTTTAGTCCTACTGAGATTGCTTGGTAAATTAAAGATTCATGTGGTCAGAAAAAGAGAGATATACAGTAAAGAGAGATTCAAAGACAGAGAAAATTTCTGAATGGTTTAAAGTGTGTTAAAAATATATGCAGGGGCTGGAGAGATGGCTCAGAGGTTAAGAGCATTGCCTGCTCTTCCAAAGGTCCTGAGTTCAATTCCCGGCAACCACATGGTGGCTCACAACCATCTGTAATTAGGTCTGGTGCCCTCTTCTGGCCTGCAGACATACATGCAGACAGAATATTGTATACATAATAAATAAATAAAGTATTAAAAAATTAAAAAAAATATATGCAGACTAAAAGTTGAAGTTTTTAAAGTAAAAAACAAAAAAAGGAAGAGTTGTGTGTGGTAGCACACGCCTTTAATCCCAGTGCCTAGAAGGCAGAGACAAACAGATCTCTGTGACTTCAAGGTGTCGTAGTGTACACCTTTAATCCCGAATGCCTGGGAGGCAGAGACAGGCGGATCTCTGAGAGTTCAAAGACAGCCTGGTCTACAGAGTTACTTCAGGTCAAAGATACAGAGAACCTGTTTCAAAAAGCAAAAAGTTAAAAGTAAAAATAAACGAAATAGAGGTTAAAACAAAGCTGCACAAAGATGGAAAATACACAGAGAATTTTGATACTGTATCCTATTATGCTCTCTTTAAATTATTTAAATGCTGAGGAAGGAGCAACAGATGCTAAAAGATATTTATTTATAAATGCTGCTGAACTAATCCAACATAGATATTTTGATGTCTTGACTTTGAAATTTGGATCTAAGGACATGATGCTTTGGAAAGGAGTTTCTTAATTTGTTTTCACAGAGGATGAGACGCTGTTCATTTCTTCTATTCCGATTTGGTATGATGGACCACGCCCTCCAGAAGGGTTGCAGTGAACATCTTCAGAAAATTGCTTCGCTCAACTGCCAACTGAGATGAAACTAGCACACAGGTTATACCATGAAAGACCTAATTAACGACGCCCCCATTCAGCAGGAAGCAGTTTGGAGAGAAAAAACTGCGTCCATGTTCCCAAATATGGTTTATAAACGTTCTTTCACATTTAAAGGGGGATATGATATAGGTATGAATAATTTGCATTAGTATAGATTTTGCTTTATTGATAGAGATTTATGGTCAATTTTGTTATATGTATAAGTGTTTCTGATTTTGATTAAGGTATTGTGATTGTGTAGTTCATTTAAATATGTACTGTATAATTAAGAAATATAGGTTGTTAATGGATAATCATTGATAATAGTAAAGCTTGTAGTCATGTTAATTAGATTTTCTAGATATATAGAGATATATTTTAGATAGACATTCTTCATGTCTTTCAAAGATTACAGAATAGGACATTTAATGTTTTAATAACTGAGGACTTTTCATGACAATGAGACACTCTGCTCCTGGCAGCACCAATGTACTTCAAGAGGAAGATGGGCATCAAAGAGGCTCGTTATTGAGTTTGGTAGCCATTTGGGCAAGAAACTGCTCTTGCCTGGACTATTGCATAAACTGGACACAGAGAACCCGCAGAGAGAGGACTACTGAACTTGCCTAAGGTGAGATGATCTTTCGGGGTTCCTGATTCATGAAAGAGTCTGCGAGACATTCTGCAGGCCACAACAGATAGTGACTGAACTGACTTTGAATTTTCCTGCTTTATGGAAATGTCTGCTGGATACCATGGGCCTGAAGGCTGAAGATGGATGCCCCAACGGTACAGAGGAACTTTGGGTGACTGTCCAGGCAGCGAGATGTCTCTGTCATTTCTAGAGTTTTAAAAGTTGCTTTTTTCTTGTTTGCTTAGGTAGTATTGTATCTTTCTGGAGTCTTTGATGGAGTTAAGAATAGTTAGTTATAGTTATAGTTTTCCTTTGTTATGATAAAGATTATTGTAACTTTTACTTGATAACTGTTTCGTTATATGTAATTTTGCTATGTTAAAGTTAAAGCCTTCCTCTTTTTTTTCACTCTTTTTTTTAATTTATTTAATTTTTAAAGATTTCTGTCTCTTCCCCGAGGGAAATGATGGAGGAAGGTCATTGGCTAATAAAGGAACTGCCTTGGCCCATTTTAATGGTTAGGACGTAGGTAGGTGGAGTAAACAGAACAGAATGCCAGGAAGAAGAGGAAGTGAGCTCAGAGACTTGACAGCTCTCCTCTCTGGAGCAGACGCCTGAGAGAGACGCCATGCCCTGCTCCCGGGATGAAGCTCCCACCCAGGATGGACATAGGCTAGAATCTTCCCGGTAAGCGCACCTTGGGGTGCTACACACAGATGATTAGAAATAGAAATAAAACATAGAAATTAATATGTGAGAATTAGCCTAGAAGAGAATGGGCCAAGCAGTGTTTAAAAGAATACAGTGTCCGTGTAATTATTTTGGGGCATAAGCTAGCCGTGTGGGCGGCTGGGGTGCTGGGGACGCAGCCCTGCTGCCCCTTATTACTACACCCAAATAACGATTCAGTGTCATTGGCTTAACGGGAAACCAAACCTAGAGAATAAGAGTGTGAAAGCAGACCCGGGAATGCAGCGAAAGAGAGAAGCCAGGGGAAAGGTGCACTGGCTGCTACTGGGTGCCTCGTGAAAGCATCCATAATTGCCCATTTATGGGCAAGAGGCATGCTATTTTCCAGCTTCCAGTTCTCAGGCTGAGGTCGCCTTTGCTGAGAAAGAAAGCAGAGAACAAATGGAAGTAAGAGCTTTCAAGCTCCCGGTGAACTTGAATCTGCAGAAAACTGTGGCTGAGGCTGAAGTCTGTGTGTGTATGTGGGGGCCTCCAGGAGCACGATGCAAGCTGATGTCTGCTCAGAAGGTAAGCGGCTCCCTCCCCAGATGGCCGAGGGGCCTGGCAGCTGCCCAGTACATGCCTTCTCACAGTCTCTGCACCCCACCCCACAGTTCCATTGGTCATCCATGGTTCTCAGACTTTGGTCTAGGGACACACTTCCATCCAAGTTTGCCTGGCCTGAGCATGTCAAAAGTTTCTGGGATGCTGATCCACCCAGGACCTCTGGGATCTTCACATTTGTATTATCACTGTTCTCATGAGAGTGGGGTGGGATATCATGGGTAACTTCCTACCTTTGCCTGGGTCTGCTCTCTTTCCTTTGCTTTCCCTCCCCTTTCTTTCCATTTCTGCTTTTAGAAGCCTTGTCCTCAAGATGGGTGAAGGGTGGGAGTGGGGTAAGGTGTGGGAGAGGGATGAAGGGTGGGAGTGGGGTGAGGA